CATCGACATCGTCATCATCATCATCGTCATCGTAATCGTCATGGTCATCGTCATCGTCATCGTCATCATCATCATCATCGTCATCATCATCGTCATCATCATCGTCATCTTCATCATCACCATCACCAAAGTCAACACCACCAACAACAGTTCATAATCAACCATCAACAATCAACATTCAGGAGTTTCCTAAACTGCTGGTACCCCTAAATCATCCAAGTCATTAGACCATTTAAGATCATTTAAGATCATTTAGTATTGAAACGGATGGTTTTCGGGTAATTACCACCATTTTAGGATATTTTAGGAAAGCTTGCAGCACTGGTTCTCAGGAGATCCTTGAAGCTGATCTACTCCTCGCAGAGACTGAGGAGGAAACGCAGGTGCAGCATGGGACCTGCATGGAAAATAAATAAGGAGACACAGTTGTGACAGTAGCGGTTATTTAACATATAAACATCGGATTAAAAGGAAGAAATCATCAATGTTTATCAATTTTGTGGTGATTTAGAAGGGATATTGATACTGGAAGGTATGACAACTAATGCATGATCATCAACCCGTGGATTTGGGGGTACCCCTTTTTTTCTCCGAGTTTTTGTTTTTGCAATCCAGAAGTGGGTGGGTCGAAATTTGACACCCGCAAATTGGGTAGTTCATGGTAGTTCATCTTTAAAATCTTCCAGCAGCAAGGTACCCTGGTTGAACAGGCAAGGCCATTTGTTTTCACAGGCCCTGGCCAGCGCGAAGATGGAGCTGCATCAGCGGCAGCATCGGCAATTGATCCTTAAAGATCAACTTCATAGACTGCGTGAGGCGCGACATGGCGCGAACATCACTTGAAATGGTGGCTAAAGGGTAGGTACTGTAACACATCCAAAAAAACATGTTTGTAAAGCAAAGATCATACAGGTATGTATAATGAAGTCGGTTGACTAGTGGTATTATGTAGAGACCATTCCTTTCAACTGATGTGTCTTGATGGCAGACGCTGTGAAGCTCCCAGGTTTATGTCCTTTTTGTTTTTTTCCGTTTGACCCGTTTGTATCTCCAGTAGTTTAATATGTTGAAGTGTCTGGTCTCCAAAATCACAATGGAAACATATTAATACATATTATGGAAACCTCAAGCTGAGTATCATCATGTATCATCCAAAATAAACATGGGAAAAAAACCTCTCGCGCTGTTTTCGGCGCAGGATTCCAAGTCCCGGAGCGAGGAAATGCTGTTGGCCGAAGGAAAACTACAGCGTGGCCGTAGCAGGTGCCGTTTTTTTTGGAACATGGAAGGTTTGTGGCTATTAGACCTACCACTGTTATGGGCCAAACATGGGGATATGCCAGGATGTGTCACAATACTTATATATGATTTCGGGGGTGTCTGAAAATGGGGATACAACCAATAAAGATTGGATTCAACATGATTCAACCAACCATTTTATATTGTAGTAGGGATGTATTTATGGGATAATTTGGGATAGAATGGGAATAGTGGGGTGTATGGCAACGATATGATAAAATTGTTGGAGGGGAAAATGATGGTAAGTGATTGAACTGTATTGTAACCATATGAATTTGTGTATGTCTGAGAATGGGAAAGTTTTTTGTGGAGATAATGGTAAGTGATTGAATTCTGCGGGTTTTCCTCTAATTTATATAAACATATTTAAACCCATATGCTAAGCATTGCTAAGCAATCCAAAACGAAGGATAGAGACAGCCTGAAGTTGGAGGCGATAAAGTGATCCCCGAAAGAGGCCATTAAAGTGGGAGGCTCAAGCAGACTTTGGAGCGTGTCAGAAAAAAAATGAAGAAATATTGCTGAACTATGCTCACTTTGGTGATTCTCAAGTCCATCAGGGCTTGAAGTTGCTAAATTATGCTAAATTGGCGTGCTCCCAGCCCCAAAGTTCCTAGAGAAGTGGAATATCGTCTGATACCCATGAAGAAGTTGGCACATCTTTGACTCTAGGACTCTAGGCCTTTTCCGGGGGGTTTGCTGGTGCTCTCAATTCCCATTCTGTTCAGTCAGCATTTTGGTTTGTCTGAAAAGAGGGTACACCAAAATGTGATAAACTTTCATGATTGACCATCATTATTCCAATTCAAATAGCCTTCCTAGGTACGTATGTAATTTTCAGACACACCCAAAACAAATATGCTTCTGTGCCGGTCATATCCCCAATATACATATATATATATATACACATAATATCCCGTTCAATTTCCCATTTAAATAAACAATGATTATAGATATTCCCATTATATCCCCATCATTTCTCCCATAAACTTGTTGGTTTTAAAGCCAGAAACCGTGACCATTTTTGGGCGGTCACGCCGCAGGTGTTTGGCCGAAGCGGCAGCTGGTGAAGCGGCAATGCAGGGCTCGGAGGTGGAGATTTTGTTTGAGTCTCAGCTGGGTGATTCCTTTGCTTGGCCACACATGGATATACATGGGACAGATATGTGTATATATATGATGTGATGTGATGTAATATCATATGTTATGACATGAATTCTAGTTTGATACTATAACATAATACTATAAATATATATATATATATATCTACCCAACTGGGCGCAGGAGGCTGAGCAACTGCTGGCACAGAAGCTGAAAGTGAAGGTGTGAATTCGAGCTCTGGACATGGATGGTTTTTAGAGCGACCCTCTGGTGATTTGAACAGTTTGCGAATTGGAAAATCACAATTTTTAATGGGAAAATTATCAGCCATGTTCAATTGCCGATTAAAAATGGTGGATTTTCCAGTCCGCAAACTGAAATCACCAGCCGCCAGAGGATAGAAATCCACCATTTTGGTGGGGATACCTGCGGGTAAACTAACGTAGATATGGAAAATCCATGGTTTCCGTCTCCGTCCGGAACATGATTTAGAAATGATGGTTTCTCCACATCTGCGTTTGTTAACCCTAGAGTAAAATGAGGATGTGTCACCAGATTTATAAGACTTGGGTGTGTCTGAAAATGATGATTAAACCCATGGACATGGGATTCAAACCAACCGTGTTTTGGGGATGGATTATGTATGTGGGAAAAAACGGGAGATATACAGTATATATGTATAAGTATATATATATATAACATTATACATATATATATATAATAATATTATATATATATATACACATGTACAACTGTACAACCACAATTTTGATTTTGGGTGCCCACAATTTCTGTGAATTGGTATGGAAAAGGATGATAAAGCAATAGATTAACAGGTACCGTACCCTAATTCTGACCAAGCCTATTGATTTGGGCATTGTTAAATGCAGATACCGCAGAGTTGGGTCATGTTCGTTTGTTCTTAAAAAAATGAAACCTTGGGAAGGATGAAACCGTTCATTTTTCAAAAGTCTAAGTCTACATGGTTAAGCCGGTTAGGCCGAGTTAGCCATCGAACTATTGTTTTTGGGGGTTTTTGGGGGTAATGACTCAATTTTGACCCGTGCCAATATGGAGGTGCACTCATTAAATTGGCATGTACCTGACGTTACCCATTCGATGTCTTGATTTGAACAGAAACCACCAACTTGGTGTGTTTTTTCGGCGTATCGGCCAATGGCCAAAACTGAATATTCTATGCGTGAAAAGCGTGGGAGACTGTATTTGTTCCATGTGCGTGTGGCTCAAGTTGGGGTACAAACGAACCTTAACTACTTGGAGGCCTTGGAGGTTTTCTAAAATGGTGCTAATTGCCCCAAAACCATGGGTTTCAATACATTCACTGGTCGTTCATGACTTGGATGATTTCGGGGTACCCTATGACTTAGGAAACCTCCACTTAAATGCTTAGGTCATGCTGTTGCGAGGCTTCGATGTTTTGGACGGTGCCAGACTGCCACGCTAGGCGCTAGCAGCTGAAGACGTGTGCCGGGAGCTGTGGGAAGCGGAAGAAGAGATCCGGCTCTTGACCCGAAAGGGTGAGGAACAGAGGCCTGATCGGCTGGTGGAGAGATTGATGGGTTGATGATGGGTTGCCAAGAAGAAATGCTACCCAAGCTTTACCACATTTCTTTTGGGAAAATAGGGGAAAAACCCGGGGGACAATTGGGGCTTGTGACCGGTTATTGTTTAATTGTGATGATGATGATGATGATGATGATGCTGATGATGATGATGATGGTGATGATGATGATGATGATGATAATGCTGATGATGATGCTGATGATGATGATGATGCTGATGATAGTCAGGGGATAATTAAAAGGTTGAGTGATGATACTGATCTTCTGACAAGGCCCCCAAATTCTTTTGTGGATACGAAGATGAATGTCCTAAAGATGACTGAACAATGGTGTGGTTGGATACCAAAGCTGACCAAGTCTGTGGGCCCTGTAGGACTCTAGTTTTGAGACAGATCCTTTTGTCTGATTAGATCACGATTTAGGTATTCCAAGTGCTAAATCATAACTCTGAGTGGCAATGGTGTGCAGAGAGAAACAAAATGCCAACTCGACATGTTCATATTGACATGTGTTTGAAGAGTCTCTACTGATGTGGGCCTTGGATGACAATTGTAGTCTAGGTGCTTTCAACCTACTTGTATTAGATTATATTAGATTGAATTTAAGGTCCCTCACCAGAAAATCACCCTCATGATAGAGGGGTGTTCTTATTTTTTGAAGATGCAGCATGCATAAAAATTCTTCTGGATGTTTCGCTTTTGGCTGGCTCGAAGCTTAATTTTCTTGTCCTGCAACTGCTCCACGGCAAAGCTGGGAGTAGCTGCAGCTTGGGTGGGAAACAAGTCAAGTTGAGAGGCGGTCGAGTCACCCGAGTCACATAAAATGGAGACGGCAAGCTACAATCCCACCACCACAACCATTCAAAACTTAGTTTCCAAGCCACTTAACCAACTCAGCTTGCAGAGGTGGTTCTAGATGGTTCTAAGCTATACCAACATATTTTAAGTTAGTTTCAGATGATCAAATAATGATGTCATCTCACTCAACAATTGCCACTGGTCTTTTGAGTTGGTCAATTGCCAACATCTCGGAGGGCTGTGGTTCCCCCGTAGCACCGATCCGCGGCCATGGCGGTGGTGCAGGGCGGCGTCAGGGGGCTCTTGCAGCGGAGAGGTTTGGGTCAGTTGCCACTCACCAGGCCAGGGGACCCGCTGGGACCAGGCCGACCCGCCAGAGATTTCACATGGAAAAGCTATGAGTTCGATGTTTTACCGATTTTTACCTACAGGATGGTGCCCCCCAGTTATAAGTTGGTTTATAACCCCATTAACTATAGTTATGTCTGCCATAAACCATAGTTATGGGAGTTATAAACCAACTTAGCTAACTATGGGGCACCACCTTGTATTAGAAACAAAGGATAAGTCACAATGACATTACCAGAGGGTGAGTCTTAGTTGTGAAACAACAAGAACTGGGAGGAAGCAAACTGGAACCATGTTTTGGTTTGTGTTGTTTTGTAAAGGGTTGATATAGAGTGCATGGTGTTGGTTTCATGGCATCATGTTCTGGGTGGAGAAGCTCTTCAGAGGTTGCCATGAGAGCAAGCAGCCAAGCCTCGTTTTGGACATGGTGGTAGAATTATACAACTGTACACTTGCAATAGAAACAGCTACATGACTACATGATGGTGGGTGATGATATATGATGGAGCGTGCTTTTGGATGCTTTTGGTCCTGTGCCTTTCATATTTTCATAATATGTTCTTGTCGGTTTGCCTTACAAATATATTAATTATACAACAAACAAGATTGACAGCAGAACCTGTGGCACCGATGCACACAAAATGCGCGAGCAAAGAGCATTGGGAGACAGAACCGCAGAGCAAATTCAGGCACCAACAGCCAGTGACGAATCCTGGTAAGAAAACAGTAATGGAGGTGAGTGCGCTGAAGAATGCATCATGAAAAGATGAAGAACATGAGCTTCGGTGATGTGCCAAGCAAGGACATGAACAGCATCAAAGATGCTCAACGATGCTCTGTGTGAGCACAATCCCACCATGTCCAAAACGACCAGCACAACACATACACCAGGAGCCACATGGATCACAGGGCGGAGGGCCTTTTTTGGGGGACACCAAGACATACCAAGACTGTCCAGCCTTTACCGAGGTTGGGCTCGAATTTGCCTCCACTGGAAGGATCAAAGGAAGGACTCGACTCTTTGACGATTTCATCTACGTCGCCAGGGAGAATGGGGATGTGTAGCGAGTATTACCGTGATTGCCCACTCATATCCCTAATAATAGGGATCGTAACCCTACAAAGTGTACAGTGTACGCGCGATTGTGACTTTGACAGATCGGAAACATGGTGCACCAGCCCCTGGGTCCGCAAGAGTGATCATGTTTGTATTGAATCATCCACTGTTTGAAGCTTGATAATTCTGATGACACAGATTTGGGTACGGCAATAATATGGAAAATACCCCCAAATTCACATGGTCAATAATCATTTCCCTTAAAGCCTGCCGTGAATGTTCTAAATCCTCATTGACACACCCAGATCAGATTGTTGGTGTATTGCCATATTGTCCCCATTATAAAAAATGTTTGAATAATCCCGTTATATCCCCAGTGTATTCGCATTGGCCCCCTGGTAATCAGCCATGCAAATACCATTCCTCCATTTTGTTCGATGTTTTTCCCATCTAAATGTCTCCGAAAAAACCAAACCGTGGGAGTCCGGCGATTTCCCCAGCCATGTTTGATGACACACAACCCATGATGTCCCAATATGTTATATCCCGTTACATCATGTTGTATACCATGATATCTAATATCCCATCAATTGTATCCCATTCTATATCGCATTATTTATACCAATGTATAATTGTATATACACATATATATACACCATATAAAACCCCATGTAACAAAGGGTTATATTATCCCCATGATATCTACATGACATTATCATGTTTTTTTTCCCCGTAGAGTTAGATCCCCATGTTGACCGGGTCCCAAGGAGCTCTATGAACTGAAAGAGCTCATCGGTCGAGGATCTTCTGGTCGCGTATTTCGCGCAGTGCGGAAAGAGGATAAACTGCAGGTGGGCGGTGGGCCATCGTGGGCCATCGTGGGCCATGGTGGGTGGTGGGTCATGGACTAAGGCTTTAAGGGCCTAAACAGTGAGCCATAGATATATGTGAATTTTGATAATGTAATTAAATGTTTTTTAGCATATCTATGCCACAAGTCCCAAATAATTTGTAACAAAAACATATGGAAAACTACATATGTGAATTTTGATATGCTAACTTTCATTTCAGATGCCTTTGAGTATATTATTCAGGCATAAAGATGTCCGAGCAAGCAAATATTATCATTTGAGCGAAGATCAATTCAAAAAGATTGCTTTATATAATGACCTGATCCAGGATAATAATATGTTTCCAATGTTTCGGCGGGTACGACAATGTCCTTGTATGGTATTTTTTTCATAAAGACCATCCTTGAGTACTACATAACATTAAATAATTATCTTTAATTGATCATGGAAAATCAGAGGGACTT